CGCATTGAGAAAATCGTGAATCCGCTGGGCACCGTTACGGATGTGCATGCCGGTATTAGCGGTGAGCTGCAAACGGATATGCTGGACGAGGTGGTCGGGCAGCTGGCGGCGGAGGATTGTGTCATACACGAGAATTGCGATGAGGCGCTCTTCCGGCCGGTGGTTGCCATATTCTGTGATGAGCTCGCCGAGCAGCGACGCCACGAACAGCAGCTGCAGCGGCAGCGCGAGCAGCAGGCGGAGGCAGCGGCCGCCGCGGCAGCGGGCGGAGGCATCAGTCCTGGGCAGCAGCAGCAGCTGGATGACCATAATAAGCCGCCCGTGGTGCTGGCCAATAAGCTAATTGTGCCCGTCATAGCCAAGGAAATGGACGAGGTGATCACGCAAAAGGAGAAGCAACAGAAATCATTGAAATCTCAGGCAGCGGCCGAGGATGCGGCACAGGCGCTCCGATTTGCCGAGCTCTCGCATCTCAACAGGCCGGCGAAGGGCAACAGCAAGGCGACAACAACTGCCAAAACTGCCAGCCAGCTGAAGCTAACAACAACTGCAACAACAACAGCAACAGCTGCAACAACAACAACAACAACAAAAACGACAACAACTGCCATCAGCGAGGATGAGCAGCTCGATGATGAGCTGCAGACATCGATTAGCTCCACGCTGTCCCTTAAAACCCAAAGCAACAAAAAGTCCAAAGCGGCCAAGCACAAGGCTAACAAAGCAGCAGCAAGCAATACGCAACAACAACAACAACAACAACAACAACAACAGAGCAACAAGAAAGACAAAAAACAAGCAGCAGCAGAGCAGCAGCAAGAGGAGGAGGAGGAGCTGAAGCCGGAGACAGAGCGGAAGAAAAAGCAGCAGCCGGAGCAGAAGCAGGCGCCGAAGCAGGAGCCAAAGCCAGAGCAGAAGCAGGAGACGAAGCAAAAGCCGGAGCCGCAGCTGGCCAAGCTGGGCAAGCCGGAGCCAGAACAGGAGACAGATTATGCGGATGGGCTGCTGGCCAAAAGGGCAGACATAGCAGCTGTTATGGTAAGCAGCGCCAGTGCGCAGGGTCTCGATTTGCATGTGGAAACCGAACAGGAGCCGGAGCCGGAACCGGAAAGTAAGTCGCCCAAGCAAGCCAAGAGCAAGTGCAGCAAGAATATGCCCAAGGCCAAGGAGCACAATGCCAGCCAATATCAGGTGAAGGTGCTGGAGCTGACGCAGCAGCCGGGCAACGCCTGGAAAACTGTCGAACAGCAGGCAGCAACAGCCGGCAATGATTTTCCCAGCTTGAGCCTGGCCAGAAAGTCGGAGAAACTGCTGCCAGGTCTGATGACGCCGCAGCAGGAGCCGCCGGCGCGGCAGGCGAGCAATTTTGATGACTTCCTGCTGAGCGTATTGCGACCGCTGGAAACGTTGCCGCCGCTGCCCGCGCTCGAGCCGCTCCAGATGCCAGAAGATGCTCCAGCGGATGGAGCAGCAGCAGCAACTGGAACAGCAGCTGAAGCTGGAGCTGCCACAACAGCCGAGAGTCTGATCAATTTTGAGAGCCCACTGCTAGAGAATGCGGCCATGCCGCGCAAGATTACGCCGCCGCCGCGCGGCTTCACCGAACAGAACCTGATCCTGGCGCTGTGCGGCTCGCTGCACTATGAGCATGAGTACGCACAGCTGTTGGCGGCCAAGGCCAAGGCAAAGGCTGGCGAGACGCGCACAGATCTGGCCATGCACAAATCCAACAGCTCATCCGGCTCCGAGGAGCTGCTCTTCATGGAGGAGGAGCCCAAAAAGCTGAGCAAGAAGCACAAGCGCAACAAGCAGCAGCAGCAACAAGCTGCAGCAGCTGCAGCTGCAGCCGCCGCCGCAGTCGATGATGAGGAACTGCGTCCATTGATCAGCATCAGCATGTGCGAATCGCAGCTGGAGAAACAGCAGCAGCTGCCGGAGGAGCAATTGGATTTCGTTATGAAGCAAAGGGATGGGCAAGTTGATGCCGATGCCGATGCCGATGCAGATGCAGATGGTGATGATGATGGCGATGATGATGACGATGATGATGTCGATGCTGATGCTGATGCCGATGTCGATGTTGATGTTGATGCCAATGTCGTCGCACGCAATAGAACACTGCCCGATGATGATTTGCTGCATTTTGGCAGCAGCGCGACGGCACCGCACTCCGGCACCACCACCGACAGCGAGGGTCCTGTGCCGGCGACCACATCCGATGACAATATCGTCTATGGCACAAGTTTGACAACGGCCGCCCATGCCAAGCTGAAGACCAAAAAGCTGGAGCACAAGATCAATTTGATAGCGGCCATTGAGGCGGCCACCTCCTCGTCCACGTCCTCTGCGGAGGAGAGCAGCGTCGAGACGACAACAACATCAACAGCAGCAGCAGCAACAGCAGCAGCAACAGCAGCAACAACAACTGCAGCTGCAGCTGCAACATGTGTGGCAGCAACTGAAGCAGCTGGCGGCACAGCGGATCTGCTGGGTATGGCAACGCCGTCTGTCTCTGCCGCAAGTGTTGCTGCTGCAAATAGCACAACACTGGGCGTGGGCGTGGGCGTTGGTGTGGGCGTGCCCGTTACGGGCCAGCCGAGTGCCACAAAGAAGAAGACAAAGCGTCGCAAGAGATAAGAATTAGCAATATGTTTGTTGTGCGTGTTCAGTCTCGTGGTGCTCTGGCATTTATACGCCGATCCGGCAACGCCAAATACGGCCAGGCAACAACAACAACAGCAACAACAACAACAACAGCAACAACAACAAGAACAGCAGCAACAGCAGCTGATGTCGCTGCCGCAGGAGGAGCAACGGTTGTTGCCGAGCAGCGCCAAATAGCGCAACAAACAAATTCGCGTTACACACACACACCCACACACACCCACACACACATGCACGCACTCAAGCTGTGCAAAACCCTCCCACTCACGCGCCCACCCAACAAGGACAACAACAAGAAGAACCTTCTTCGCAACTTAGCAAATAGCAAAAGCCCCCTCCACACACACACAACTCTCTCTCTCTCTCTACACACACACACACACACACATATATATAGCCCAATTTGTAAAAGTGTGCAAAAACATAAAAAAAAATTTTAAAATACTAAAAACATACATAAAAAAAAAACAATGTGATTATTGACAAAAAAAAAAAAACAAAAACAACAAAAAACAACGCGTTTGTAGCAATTCGTTTAAATTTACAAAGAAAAAAAAGCTTAAAAAAAATAATGCTAACAATTTCTAAGTGCAAAAGTTATATTATTAGCAATAAAAAAAAACTCAATATATATATATATATATATATACACACACATACATATATATACATATACATAAATATATAAGAGAATTATGCAAAACAAAAAATTAAAAAAAAAAAACATAAAACTCAAAATGCTCTAATTTCTAAAAAAAAAAAAATGTATATAAAACACAACATTTGACAAGAAAATTACAAATTGTATAAAAAACAACTGATTGCTCACACACACCCACACACACACACACACAAACAAACTAGAGATCCAGCTTAAAATACTGTAAAAAAAAAAAAGAAAGGAAAATGTAACTGTCCAATGCCACAATCTTTGTAAAAGCTCTGTGTAATGCGCTGCAGCAGCGCCTGTGCAGCTGCATGCATATACGAACACACACACACAGACACAGACACACACGAACGCACACAGAGCACAGTTGAGAACAGTTTCGCTCTCATAATTTAGTTGCTGCGCGCATGTCAAGCTGTGCGAGTGTGCGCGCATTGCTTCGGGAGAAGCTCTCGACAGCAGCTGCAGCCGCATTTACACAGAGTGCCAAGTCCTGCTTTCGATAAGTTTTTATAACGCCAACCAACAACAACTACACACAAACCTTCTTTCCCAAACCAAAAGCTCTCAAAAAAGATGAACGAAAAAACGACAAAAAAAAAACAACAACAAAAACTCTGCTTGTTTCCAATTTTTTGGCGCTTCGTTTAAAATACTTTTTTTTTTTTATATGACTTTTAGTGTGTTAATTTATTTTTTAATTGAGTAAAATATTTCGAAAATATGAACTACATGTAATCAATTCTTTTTTTTTTTTTTTGCCCGTTTATTATAAGAATTTTGCGTTTTCATTTGTAAAGAACTTTGGCAAAGCTTTTGAAATATTATAAATCAAACAACAACAACAACAAAATAGTTTTCTGTACATATAACTTGCAGTATTTATGATTTTCAACTGACGAAAAAGGCAAAAAAAAAAAAAAAATAAGGAAAGGAAATAAAAAACATTGAGGAAAAACAAAATCGAACTAAAAATTAATTAAATTAAATATGTATAATTAAATAAATGCAATTTTAGTTAAAACTACCATAAAAAGAAAATTGGTTATTTTATTGCAACGAAATACCCTGTAATGAATGCATCAAAGGAGCATGGAAAATAACCCAAGCTTCTTAACGAAACTATATTTCCAGTGTGACCATTTTCTTTAAATTTGTTATAGATTCTTCTTTTATCTATATCATATAGAAATTATGCAAACTAGCCTGCGAAAGTGTATAGCTTCTAAAATAGGAGTGCGGACCTAAACTTTCAGTGTGACCATACTTTTTAAATGATGTTATAGATTCTTCTTCTTAACCGTTTGTTTGACTACATCATATAGATCTTTTGCATATGGAGCACAAAATTGTAAAGCTACTAAAATTGTAGAACGAGCCCAACTGAAATAGGCTTCCAATGTGACCATACTCTTCAAATTTGTTATAGAGCCTTCTGTTTTACCCGATCGCATGACTCTATCATTTAGATTTCATAAAGAGAAGCCATTGTCCGGCAACAGACCGACTGAGTTCAACTCTAGCACTCAATATAGCACTATTTCGGCTCTACAAACCCATTGAACTCGGGCTCTATAAGGGCTAGCGAGATGAAATTTGGTATGTGGCCTTATCTAAGCCAAATACATGTAAATTTCCCAACAAATTGTCACTGTGAATTGCCTAGCATAATATGAATTGTTTATAGAGCGCTATTAAATGCATTTCTCTTTTATATAGGCAACTTTTTTGGCACTGATCAAATGGATGGACTGGCCAACAACAATAACAACAGCAACAACAACAACAACAACACGATTGTAACAACAACAACGGGAACAACCAACAAGTTGCAAAAGCTGAACAACACATTGAGCAACAATCCCAATGCAAATGCCGCACAGGAGCAGCAAATTGATGTGGAGCCCATGAGCACCACACCGCCCCCAACAACAACAACAACAACAACAGCAGGAGCAACAGCAACAGCAACAGCAACAAAAGCAACAGCAACAACAGCTGTGGCAGGAACCGGCAAGCCATTGTCAAAACCAGTGTGCAACAATACCGCAGCGGTGGGCATCGATGGCGAACTTGCCACCGTGGTGAACATCGATGTGTTCGACGATCAGCTGAGCCTGAGCAGCATCAGCACCAACAGCCGCCTCTCGCTGGAGGGTCCGGCATCGCAGTCGTCGCCGCCGCTGAGCCTCAGCAACGGGCTGATGGAGACAAATCTAATGCATTTCAGTGAGAGCGCCGCGCTGGTCTCCATCGATGGCTATGGCGGCGGGCCGGCGGATGCCAACGACTCAGATGCCATACCCAATTTGTGAGAGTTAATCCAGCGGCCGTCGGCGGTGCGTTTTGTGCAGCGTGCCACGCTGATCGGTGAGAATTTCAATTTGCGTCGCATCTGTGCTCAACTGTTCAATGCGCGGCCAGCTTCGGCGGCAGCTGTTGGCAGCGGCAGTGCAGCCGACAAGTCCTTAAAGAAGCCTTCTTAATTCCTAACTAAATAACTACCCCATAAAAAAAAAAAAAAAAAAAATCAAAAAAAAAAACACACACGCTGTGTAAGGTGCTTGTTCTATCATTTCTATGTTAAGTATCCAAGCACATGCGGCGCCAAGTGTCACTTAAGCTTAGGATTAATCAAAAGCTAAGGCAGTGTTGTTTAGCTGAGCAATGAGAGCTACTTTTATGTTGTGTGGCACATTGCTGCAATTCTCATTTCATAAAGCTTAGCCCAAGCTTAAAGCTATGCTTGGACTTGTATGAACAGCTCTTAAAGCACATTAATGATATGCAAAAGCTCAGGCTGTCTATAAAGCTCACTCCAAGTTCAAAGCCTCTGCTTGCATCTGATCATGCCTGGAGGCAATTAATCAAAAGTTCGCTTGCTTGAAAAGCTGCGTATCCACTTAATCTATCGAAAAGAGCTCATCAAAAGCTATCAGCTTATCTATTTTAAAAAAAAGCTCATTAAAATCTAACTGCTTGATTTTATAAACGCACAGCAGCACAGAATGTTAAGCACATGAAATTTATAGAGCTTTAATATGATTTAACGTTTCAGAAATTATTTCAACAAAGGAAATATTCCCTTAAAAAAAAAACAAAGAAATAGGTTTCTTTAAAAAAAAATGCATGCAATAGACATAAAGCTCACTGCAGGCTAACTAACTTTAGGCAGCGCAAATATGTTTTCTATTTTGCTAAACAACACTGTTTGCAGCTACTTAAATGCACTTGTTTTTACAACACTGGCAATAAGCTTTGGAAGCACATTAAAAGCTGCCATTGAGCTTTGCGCATTCGACACTCTACGAAACTTTTGGCGAACGATTAATCCTGCGATTAAGTAACATTTTGCAGCCCGTGTCTGTTCATTTATCAAAATGCATTAATTAGTTCAATTAGTTTTCGTTTTTTTTTTTTCAAATTAGTTTTTTTTTTGATTATTCTCAACTATTTTATCAGCCTCTAAATAATTGTTAACAAAACGCATAGCAAAAAGAAAGCCATAAAAAATGCAGAAAGCATAAAATGTAAAAAAAAAAATATATGAAAAAAAGTATGCCCAAAAAAACACATTTAAATCAATATATAGATCAGATCAGACCTCAGCTGAATGCCGTGATATTTAAAATACAATTTAAACAAAACAAAAATAACAGATACAACAAAATTAAATAGTTATAACAAAGAAAGTACACAAAAGAGAAGAAGCAATGATAGATGAAAAGTAATATAAAAAAAAAAAAAAAAAAAAAAAACAAAAATATTAAAAAAAAAACTATTAAACCTAAATCTTAAAACTTAAATATGTAATAAATACCAATTATATGTCTATATACTATATACTATATACTATATACTATATGCATATATATATATACTATATCTGTAAAGTATGTATATATAGTACAGATACTATATACTTCCATAACTTTTGTGTAAACTTGTGGACATGTTAAAAAGCTTGCATATTATTTCTAGATTATAATTTTTTTTTTTTTGATTTAATTCCTTTTCTTTAATCTAATTTTGATATATACTTCTTTTTTAAGATCCAAAGGCAAACAATTTTTGTACACACTTTTTGATGCATGTCTACCAAAAAGAAAAAAATAATTACAGAATTCTCAAAATTCCATTCCGATACGAAAAATGTGTCACAATCCAAAACGAACCATTTACAGAACATATCCATATACAACAATATGATAACAATATATATATAAAGATATAAAGATTATAGAATTGGTACTGAACCCATAATCCAAAAAACCCCATAATGATCCATAAAAACAATTGAAGAAACTGTTTGAAAAGAAACAGACAAACATATATGTTGTGTATATTCAGAGAATCAGATACGTAATACACGAACTCTATATATCGATATATATATGTATATATATATTTATATAGTACTTGTGTATTACGTATCTTGTCTATATAGAGTTAAGCATAATATATATATTTAGATATGAGCATTACTGCAAAGAGAGAAACTTAAGGCCACTTTCTGATCCACCAACATATGAAAAACAACAACAACAAAAACCTAAAAAAAAATATATATATATATATATTTATATATATAGTTCTATATGCGCTTTGGACAACTGCTGGACAGG